ACAACGTTGTGGCCTCTTAAGATTGTTTAGAAATCCTTTATGCCAAGGTCTGTCAAGGACCTGTCTCTGGTAAGAGACACAGACTAAGATTTAAGACCACTCTATCGTTCCCATTGGTGGTAAGTGGGAGAATGTTCCCAGGGTCACTGGTTGGGTGGAAGACAGGCTCCTAGGATAGAGAATGATATTCCTAGAGGAACCATCACCATTAAACTGCAAGCAAACTAATTCATGTAATTACTTTAACTCCATTCTGTTTTTTCAAGTATAATTTGTACCACACTGTGTAAATGCCTATTTGCAAATTATTCAAAGATTCCTCCCCAGCACTGCATGCTTCGCTAACAACAAATGCAAAAACATTTCTTCTATTGAACTGCCAGTCCTCCTCCTCAAACATCTCTTTCTCCCGTCCAAATACCAGCATAGTCCAATGCACTCCAGCTTTGTCCTGCAGAAAGAGCATTTCTGTACACCTCTTCATTTTAGCTAATACCTGCTTTTCTACATAAATATTTATTGGTTTTGTTGCTTTCTTTTTTATTTTTAATTACCTGGCTGGGAGGGAGGGAAGGTAGGAAGGATGGTAAAGGAAGACAATCTCCCTCTTTTCTGAGCGAGAGCTGTATCTGAAAGAGTAAGAGACTGAAATTATCATTTGTTTGGAGAAAAAAAAAGATTAATTTTAAGATTAGCCAATTTGATGTCATGTCTTCATTGGCAGTAGAATAAATTATTATCTGCTAACTACCAGCTTTCTGAAGTAGACTGTTAGGTTTATGCCTATACTGCTGAATTGCAGAGGTCTCTGAGGCCAAGTGGCACACCTGGCTCAGGCACACTGCTTACGGCTAGTCATAGAATCATAGAATCATAGAATCATTAAGGTTGGAAGAGACCTCCAAGATCATCGAGTCCAACCGTCAACCCAACACCACCATGCCCACTAAACCATGTCCCTAAGCGCCGCATCTACACATCTTTTAAATACTTCCAGGGATGGTGACTCAACCACTTCCCTGGGCAGCCTGTTCCAATGTTTAACCACTCTTTCAGTAAAGAAATTTTTCCTTACATCCAATCTAAACCTCCCCTGGCGCAACTTGAGGCCATTTCCTCTCGTCCTTTCGCCAGTTACTTGGGAGAAGAGACCGACACCCACCTCGCTACAACCTCCTTTCAGGTAGTTGTAGAGAGCAATGAGGTCTCCCCTCAGCCTCCTTTTCTCCAGGCTAAACAACCCCAGCTCCCTCAGCCGCTCCTCATAAGACTTGTTCTCCAGACCCCTCACTGGGTCTGTCCACTCTGTAACAGTTCTGCCTTGGAGACCACCAGTTGGAGAGGTTCAAAACAGAACCAGGGAGTAAGCTGTAGGCATACCCTAAAATTTCTACTGTATCTATGATTTTCTGTGTATGATCTCAGTATAATTTTCAGAGTAAACCAAACTTAGCTTATCTTAAACCCTCTTAGCTACATTCAGGTGTGTCACAGGACTAGATAAAAAAACCCCATAGTGTATACATACTAATGCCTGAATTCAGAAGTAACTTTCTGGTCCCACCCGTATGTTAAATAAACACTGTAAAAACCAGATCAGTCCTTCTGCACAGTAGCCTCAGTGACTTGCATGCATTTCCCATGGGAGCAATACACAGTCCTTAAAAGGTCTTCCAGGTCAGCTGTTGGCGGGACAGTAGGAGGGCCCCTTCTGGAAACTGCTTTACATTTTCAGGGATTGCCCAGGCAACGCTGATCTCTTCCACAAACCAGAGAATCACATTCCTTTCCAGCCCTCCTCCTCCCTTGACTGTGTGAGCAATTCAAGGAAATTATATGAAATATACAGATTTTTCACTGCTTTATGTAATATTATGTAAGTATGGAAAATTAATATATTTTTACTTAAAAAGGGATTTATTGGAAATTACCAGCAAGTTTGTATCAATGTTTAAGTTTTCATGACTTGCAGCATTTCTATAGTGCAGAAACTTTTCTTAGACAGGAAAATTCTTTCTCTTCTTTACCAGATGAGAATACAGAACTATAGTAATTAAAACATGACCAGAGCTAAACGGCATACCTGTGTTAGATTGAGAGTCAGACTTCTGGGAAGTAAAGGATGATGATCTTGCACGCTTTCTGGAACAACTAACGCAATCTAGAGAAAAGTAAGTATGTTCTGCAGAGACAGACTGGCAGGAGATTTCAGCACAATGCTATGATATGGAATTAAAACCTGAACACAATAAATTCTAGGAATGACTTACAGGAACAGCTTTAAGGCAGTACCTAAGAGCACGAGGGCTTTGGAATCTCAGTCACAAAGCCCTGGGAGTCTTCTTTATTTCTACTACGTTCAGGGAACCTAAATCAAGCAGTTAGAACCAGTTCAGAGCCCACAGGCGCAGAAGACATTAAGAATGAGAAGTTACATTATAATGTAGCCTAAGCAAATTGAAAGGGGTTGCTAGGAGCTCATACAGCTGATGAATATACTTGGCCACTTTTCAGGGCTTCTGGAGTTTGGCTTTCCAGTAAATATGAGAGATAAGATGGAAGAAGTCTTGAGGTAAGACAGGGACATATATATTAGAACATAGTAGGTGGTTCTACAACACACATAGTCTTAGTCTGCTAACAGGGATTTGTCCCTGCTCATACAAAGTAAGGGTCCAAACACTATTTTCACAGGCAACAGTGAGACCTATGAATAACCCAGCATATTATTATACTTTTTCAATGAGATGGTTATTACCGTTTTCAGCTTTGCAAACTGGGTCTTCTGCAGGCCGCTGGAAAAAAAATATAAGCGTGGAAAGGTCAAGGAGAATAGAACAGCCATTTTCTAGACCAGGACACAAAGTATATCAATCCAGCATATATGCATTAAAAGCCATCTTGCTTCCAGTTTCTACTTTTCCTTGTTCTATTTTGAGACCGTTTATTACAAGTCTTAACCTGGGCTAAAATCTTTTATTACTGCTAGGATCATTGTCTATAGAATCCTCATTTCTCAGCGTTTTTTATCAAATAAGGGGAAAAAAAAAAAAAACTTTTTACCTTCAAAGGACGGTCCTTCTTTTCAAAAACAAATGTTGGCTGGGCAAGCACTGATCTCTCTGGAAAAGAAAAGAGATCATTTTTATTAACAATTCTGTAATAGCACTTCTCAACCACAGTTCTCAAAGTGCTGTGCAATAACAAAAAGGACTTCATCCTTTTGTTACAAAGGAGAAGAATATAGAGCTGCTGTGATGTACAGCACAGTTCGTAAATAAAAAAAAAAGCTAGTCCACAAATCCCAGTGTGAGTTTTGCCTAACTAGATGCCACAGGATTTGGCCTTTTTTTTTTTTTTTACACTTTTTAGTTAAAAAGAAAAAAAAAGTGCTTTTAGCCTTTACAGACAACATGCCTGCCATCCTTTAAGAACAAGGGTGAACTGCAGCTTTGGTTCTCAGAAAAGTGCAAGGATGTGACGTGCAAAATGATCCCAAAAAGGAAAGCAAGGAAATGTGTTACACTTGGCCTCTCAGCTACATTCACACTTCCCATTCTTCAGGCTTCAGGTAAGTGAATGCCTAGTGTCAGTTTTAATGTGTGAGTATGATATATAAACATGAAGTTCTATAGAGCAAATTCTACTTTCAGGCATACCTCTGCATTTCTTAGGTATGACTGAGAACAACTTTGGATCCATGTTGTTTGGGGGGGGGTTGTGGGTTTTTTGGGGTTTGTCTTTGTTTTTTGGTTTGTTTTTTTTTTTTTTTTACACAAAACATATTTCAGCATACAGCTGCCTCACAGCAAATTTTATGTTGATTTAGGGTTCACTACTTCTACATCTTACATGACTTCTTCGGGCTACTTACTTTGCTAAGAATGAGACCTTTACAGCCTGTGCAACTATAATGGACTAACTTTGGTTGCCGGTGTGAAAGCAGAAGAAGTTGTTTTCACCAGTACCACCAATTAATGACATTTATTATGCCAATAAATGGCACAGTTAAAGAGCAAAGAAGCAGACACAGATTTTTTTAGACAGCCACATACAGGATTCACCTCATGCTAGCTTGAAATGTCTGTAACGTGCAATCAGTAGAAACAATCAGCTTCTGAGCATGAGCATATTTTAGTTGTGTATGTTAGGAGATGAATGGAGACCTAAATGCATGTATTTCTCTCCATGGCTGATAAGGACAGACTATGGTGGCTACTGAGCTATATGACTGGCCTTTGGCCAGAGAAATCCCACACTTGATATCTCATTAATTGATATCTGACAGAATATTTATCACGTACACACCATTTTTGTAACACCAGCTTCCTCTGGTTTATATTAGAATATTTACCTGTTCAAAAATGTCCATGTGAAAATACATGGATTGATATTTTTATCTTGGCTTGCACACCTATCTGTGACCAAACCACTCTAGCATTGGTATCAATTACTTAAAGATTTAATAAAGCAAATACAACTTACCATGGAGGTTTTAAAATTACTAAATATATATTCAACAATCAAGAAAAAAGTAAATACTGTTAAAATAAATGCTGTGTCTATGTAAACTGGGGCAAGAAGCATGAAACTGTTACTCAAATCCAGCAATATACAGATCACAGCAGTAGTAACTAATACAGTTTTGCTGTTGTTGAAGTTAATTTTGTATTTACTTGGGCATTATGTGTCTGCAAAGGACTGAATTTAGCAAACTTGGCATGCTTTGCAATGAAGGTCTGGTTTGTCCTCAATAGAAAAGGCAGAAAAAAGTTCACATTGTTCAACTCCAAAAAAGATAATTCTCTGTCACTGAAAGTTGAAGAAAATTTCCATAATCTGGTTGCAGCTGGGGGTCTGTGGCATGGCATGAGATGGAGCAATTCCACTTCTATTCACTAGAGGGGAGTGGCACACATAAACAATAGTATTTCACTGAAACAGGATTTATTCAATATAATAGGCCTTTTTCCTGTCTCCTTTAAAAAAAAAAAAAAAAGGACTCGTATTCTTATTGAATGAAGGAAAAATACAAAAAATTAAAGCATGACTACAGAAACCTTCATATTCTCCACAGTACGTCTCAAAGCTCAGAAGCTAGCAATATTTTTAAAGGTACATTTACTACTCCAAAGCATGGAATTAGCTAAGCGTAAATTGCTGTGAAAAAGGAACTGACTTTCTATCAGAGAGTCAACTTTTGCTGGAGCTAAAAGGCTGTAGGGAGTTTCAAGGAATTAGGAACATTCACTACAATTTAAAGAACAAAATTCTAATAATAGTTTAAAACCCAGAAATTCCTGAAGAAAAATTCATAACTGGTTGATTACCAACAGCAACATGTGAAGCTAGGGTTTAATGGTATCTCTTAAAGATAAATATGCATATTTTGATATTGCAGTAAATCTAAAAGATATATCCCATCAACTGCTTTTGAGCTAAAGGGAAAACTTTCTTGCCATCAGTAGATTTAGTCAGAGGTTGCTGATGCTGCCACAGTTATTTATAATTTTTACAGTTCTATATTGCTTCTACCCAAATCAAGAAAACCTTTTTGTAATTCCTGGAAAGTATTCCATGTAGCTCATCAGTAAGATCTTCACTCCTCAATCAGGCCATTCATAACAGAGTTTTAAAAATACATGTGTTAACTATATATGTATCCTATACATCAATTTCCAATTACATTTTAAACTTCTCAGATATCCAAGCACAAAGTATCTGCAGCTGATCCCCACAGAAAAAGCAATGCAGAATTATGCGTGGATGTAAGACAAGGCCATCAAGGAGTTATAACAATCTTGTCAACATGCTAATTTTAACACTGGTGAGCAACTTTGCATTTCTCTCCTTCATCTTCTGCACTGAGGTTGCTGCTGCCAGGGTGGATGTCTGTGTGCTGGGAGAAGAAGCCCTTCTGCACCCTCCTCTCCTAGCAGCAGGGGGGAGGGGGCACCCAGCCAGGCAGTGCCTGACCCTGTCCCTGTTCCCTCTGTCCCAAGGAAGAGGCGGCAGCAGCCGAGCCTGGGTGCACGCAGACGCGGAGGGACGGGAACAGGCTTGGCTGGAGCTGCACCTCCTCATCATCACCAACAGACCCAGACAGACATGGGCTGGCTAGTGCCTGGTTAAGACTGGGCCGCTCCAGTCCTCTGCAGCTTGGTACTTGCAGATAAAAGAGGCTGTTGGAAAAGTTACCCGAAAAACCTGCCAAATGGCTACAGGGACTGGAATAATCCACCAGCCTCAGCCAAGGGCCCAGACACAGAACCTGTCTGCCTGCCCATGAATAATCACCACAGATTGGGCTCTCTTTTCCTCACTACAGTTCCTCTGAAGCTGATGAATTAGAAAGGTCTTGGTCTAATGTTTGCTGCATTCAAAATAAGCCCTTGCCCGGAAGACACATTAGAAATGTCCAGTTCCCTTGTTTGAGATCTTATCTGCATGACCTCCTGGCTCCAGCCTCCTGTCCTGCACAGAAGCACTATCAAATGTGCTCTGACCTGAGCTCCCCCACATGAAAGGCGCCCGCGTCGCAGGCCTGGTGCCTGCTCTGCTCTGCTCTGCTCTACTCATCCAGCACGGGCATCCTTGCTACATCACTGCTCGGTGCTGTGCCTAGCACTGTACACACAGGCAATTGGCAAATTATGGTTGTCCAGATGCCCAGATGGAGACTGCATTTGTAGAGTTCCATCTGAAAGAAAATAGAGGTGCATTTTGGGAAAAATGATTGCTAGCTGCTGCCTGAACCTAGGAAGCACTAGTCAGAATGACATGCGAGAAATAACGTAAAACTGCCTTCACCAACTTTGCTTGTATCCCAAAAGCCAGCACTGTCCATGGGGTGTACAGGTCCTTCAGCCTTTGCGGTGACATTCCACCCTCCACTTTTATTGCTATTGCTTTTCCTAAAGCTGTAGAAACTTCACAAAATATATACATTAAAAAGTAAGTGGGACACTGATGGTTTTGAAAATTTTAGAGTTGTTATTATTGCTCCATCTTGCTCACAGAACAGATAAATGATCCTTAACCTTTGAGGGCTAAGGACACAGTGGAGAGAATATGAGCCCAAATCTCTCCAATTTTCAGGCAGTCATATGTCTGAAGTCATGTGTCCAAAGTGACTGACAGTGCTGTGGCTCTATTCCTCCCAAAGCAAAGCAAAAAAACCCTCAAAGCTTTAAGAGGATAAGACAGGAATTTGTGATCTCAGTAAGTTTTTTATTTCTGACTTTTAAACAGCTAATTTTTACACTTTCAGATTCAAAAGAAAATAAATTCTGTTGCATCTTCACCGTTACTAAACTTGCCAGAAGCCTGAAAACATTTCAATTCATATTCATACCAAACACTTTCACATTTTTGTATCTGAAGTTAGGAACCTACATCTATAAAAAATAACAGGAGAAGGTTTTATATCACTCAGGATGGCTGACTCCAGTGAAAGCTGTGAGTGTCCATTAAATCTAAAACTCAAACTGATTTTATATATGCATTAAAGGGCTAAAATGCAGGCATCAGAGTCTGACAGCAATTACAGTTCTTACACATGAATCGTATTTTTGTGCTCCAGTCTTAGCAAGGTATACTATTATAGAAAGGAAGTACAGAAACTGATTTTCTCATTCAAATTTGTGTTCTGTTCAAATGGTTTTCATTGGTTAGTGATCCCTTTAGCTAATTACAAACCTGAGTAATTATTTAAGGAATTAGGCTTTCTGTGGTGTCAGAGGTATGCAACATCACCCAGATTTTTTTTAATTCCTGCTCAGTGAC